CCGATGAATGTGCCAGCGTTTTCTTTGCAACGTCAAATCTCGTGCAAAGTAAATGTTATATTTAGGAGCTTAACTTTTTATCTAGTGAAGCGAAGCCAGGGGGTTTTACCTGTTTTTTTTTTACCGTTGGTGATTGACTTTAATATTCAAGTTATTTTCTCTGGTTTAATCCTTGCTCTCTCCGAAGTTAATTGGTTAACAAGACACTGAAGGCTGTGGAGGCGGGGTTTATGTCTGATATGCTAATTATCGCCATGGAAACACAGTCACAGCAGGAAGCAAAAAGGCAGTGACTAATGGCCCACTCATCTGATATCCCAATCCATTTCTCGCTCTCTCTCTCTTTCTTTTCACAGTCTCTCTCTCTCTCATCTGAAATCCCACTCATCTCTCTGTGTTTCCATTCCTCCTGCTGTCATTCATTTCCGCCCTCTGTCTCTCCTTGTCCACTCTTTGCCTTTTTTCTGTCTTTTAGTACATATTCTCTCTGTTTTTTCCCTCTTGTTCTTCTTCATGTGAGAATTTACACTTGTAAAATCAAGGTTGCATTGCTTAAAAAGAACATTTGAATGACAATTTATTTGAAGTTATAGTAAGGCAAAGGCAGTGCTAAAGAAGACCAGACAAGATGTGACAATGACACGTACATGTAACAACATTAAACAATATTTAGAAAGCAATCTCTAAGTAAACACTAATTCCCTTCTCTGTTTTCAACCACAACTTAACTATATGACTCATGCATTCAGACACATTTTAATACCCCTGTCGACATGAAGTGACAAGACACTCACAGAGCACCCTTTAAAGTATGAAAAACACACACAGTTGTCTCCCCCTGTCCTTGTATGTAACCGTACTCGCCTGCGTCTTTTTCTAAATTTCCCTCACTGTCTTTGTGACTCATAGCTTTCCTTGACAACTCTATCAACACAAAAAGATAAGAGACCACTAGTTAATTACTAGTCTGTTAAACACAAATACAGGAAACACGCCCTCTTTTATATCCAAAAGATGTGGGAGAAAAAGCTGTGAGACACACTTTGTTTGATGTTAGTGGCACACAATGATCGGGAAGTCTTAATTAGCGGTGTAGATAACTTAGTTATTAATAACGGATCCACCATGACAGATGAGGCTTATTGGGAAAATCAAACCAGCAGGGAACCCACACTCCTCCGTCTACCCCCATCCACATGTTCTGAGATCAACTATTAGGACAATAGTTTATATTTCTGTTGATGTTTGATTTGACAGGTGTTTCTCTCACTCTTGTGTCAGGTTGATGGGCAACTGGTGGGGCCATGATTGAAGGAATTGCTGTCTTCAGATTGGACAAGTTGATCAAATCCATCAATTTAAGCAAACCTGCTCTTCTTCAACTCTGCTTCTTCCAACAAATAAATCCACAATTTAATTTGGTGTGCATTGAAGAGAGAGTCCAGTTTTCTGATGTTAGAGATTCTGATATAATGACCAAAATTGTGTTACTTGATTGCATGAGAAAACATTTTCATAAAAGAGCTTAGGTTAAGAGACGTCTCATTTGTTTTAAGTTTTTTTATGGAAGATTAAGGGTTTGGTTTTAGTGAACATTAGTTTGGGTTGTTTGTGCAATACGAGTCTCTGAGGTTTATACTGTTGTGCACCTGGGCATTATTATATTTGAGGAGTCAAGCTGCATATCATGTCTAGGATTTTCCTAGGTCTGGGGAAAAACTGAAGTTAAGGGCACGGCTTGGAGCAAAGGTCATGACACCATGAAGGTGTAATTGTTTGTGTGGTTTTAGTTTAAGCAGACTGTGTTTGTCTATTGCTGTGACTTAGATGAAGATCAGAACACATTTTATGACCAATTTATGCAGAAATCCAGGTAGTTCCAAAGGGTTCACATACTTTTTCTTGCAACTGTATGCTTCCGTTAGGCAATATTATAAGGAATCATTCTGTAAACTTTCATTATTATGCGGATGATACTCAACT